GTCATATACAGTGTATCTGAAATTTTGGAAAGACAACGGCAGTTGAAAATACAGTATCTAATGAAAATAAAATTTGACTTTCCTTCTAACACTCCAGACAAATTTTCACATGCTAAAATAATCTGTTCAAAATTTTCCTTCTGAGAAACCTTTTTTTCAAGTCCACCTTTCTAATTTATTGAAGACATTTCACTATAGTTACTTGATTGGTTCTTAATTTTTGAAAAAAAGCAGAAACTTTTCAAGTACCTGCTATAAGGGCTTTCAAGCAACATTTTCTAAAGTCTGTGAGAATTGTATGTGAGTGGGCCCAAAAAGGTTGGGAAACACTGTGTTAGAACACCCATTGTAGAAAACTGAGAAAGCAGATCCAAATAATGCTTTTTTTTACAAGGAATTATAGAGTATACAACTTTCTTCAGGTAAGAAATTTATGAACAAGAAATATTCATAATATTTAAGCCAGAGAATGAATTTCTGTGATCATCATTCAACAAAATCACTTTGAATTTGACTTGGACTGGTTCAACTGTTTTCCACACTAGTATCACATCTTTTCATTTTCATATTATTTGTTATAAGTGATGACCCCAACACTATTTTGAGTATCCTTTTGTAAGGAGTGCGTTTGCAGTTCTGCTCGGGATACAACTTTAATCCTATAAGTCTGGAATTTCTTTTTATTAAGAAAAAGATTTTAGCATGGGACTTGTGACATTACGAAGAGTTAAAAAGAAAGATCAGAATGTATTTAAACTTCATTAGGAAGTGAATGTACAGGTTGAGGTAAAACATGGAAACTTGGAAATGAATCAATTCTTTACCTCTGAAATGGAAAGAAATATTGAATTTAAGACTCACTCCCTTTCTACCTTCGTCGTGTATATTAATTTATTTTGAGTATTGCGACACATGAACTACAGAAATTTATAACCTTCTCCGTGTTGGAATTTATGCAGTTGAAAGCCCTATGGCTGAAAGACGTCTCCCTTATGAAAATATTCGATCATTTACTGATGCAAACGTCGCTCGAGAAGCTGTGGATCAGAAATTATCGTTCTCAGGCGAATGAACCCTGTCGACAAATTTGCCAGGACTTCCTTGACAGTCCCAAAGAATGGGTCAAGAATTTAAAATTCGTTTCTGCTGATCTCTGGGAGACGTACATTCCCTACGAAAAACTCCACCATCTGGAATGCGTCGCTTTCTTTTTTCGATGCGAAGACGCCGTGGAATTCGCGAAGAGAGTCTTCGAAAAGCTTCACAGCTGTTCCAAGCTGCAAGGATTGATTCTTCGTGTACGGGATGATCTTCAACTGGAAACACTTGACCCATTGCCGCAAAATTTGGAGTTTGCTGCATTTACGGGTACCAATCGTTGCAGCGCAATGGCTGCGCTAAATTTCATCCGACGGAGTCAAAATTCGTTAAAGGATCTTTGGATCCAAATGGATCACACGAAGGTGAGAGCTGCATCCAAAGCTTCACGAGTGCATTTTTTTTTTATGACGAGAAAGTCTTAGAAAGGATCCGAATCTTTGGTCAAAGCAAGAATGACTGCAAGAAAATCTCCAAATTTTCCTGAATTTGTCGCCGTGATCTGATTATTCGAATCACAAAATCCTGGGAAAAACTTATTTCAACGCAGAACGTGATTTCCTTCAAGTTATAATACGACAATTGCAAATCTGTCCCAGACCGTCGTAAAATTTCATTCAAAAATGTAAAACATTTTTTTGACTATTTGCTAATAAGCATCTGTGAAATTCAATTTTAAGTGACTTTTTAAAAGTAGTTCTAATATTTTTGAAAATTTCGAGCCAAATGAAATTCATAAAGTTTTGGGACTACATAAGAGGAGAAAAGGTTTCCTTTCTTTTCACTTTTATTGATTTAAAATAAAGAGTTCCGAAGTGTGGACAAAATTTGCTGAAGTTCATCGATTTTTAGGTGCAAAATTCTATGATGTTGAATAATTTCGTTTTGCCTGTTACTTTTTCCCCCACTGGAAAATTTTTTGCTCGAAATTTTCTCTGTTCAGGTCTTTCTGAGCGGGGACCCGCACATAGTCAAGAATTTTCCTTTTTTCTTTACGAATTTCACACAGGATTTGGAAGAACTCTTCCCAGCTCTTATGGCTTTCCATCGACTCGAGAATGTCGTGTTTGTGTTGAAGAACTCATTTGGCAGAGACGACGTGCTGAACCAAAGATGGTTCAAGACCGCACTGAAGGAACGCGTTATTCCCGAAGGCGCTTGGAAGCAATCGACGCTGTTTCTTCCAGCAGTGGATACACAATCTGATTACCGATCGTACACCTACAACTTTGAGCTAATGGACGAGGATGATTTTTCGTTGAAATTTGTCAACCGATTTTACTTACAATGGCTAAAGTTTATCCCAGACAAGGAAGAACTCGGTCAGCTTTGGATATTAGAAGTTATTGCCGCCATCTTTCGTTGACGTCATTTGTACGGTTCGTCGAGTCCCAAGCGTTCTTCGAAATGACTTTTTTCAATTATGGTAATACTGTAACGAATTCCCATATTGAATATTTCGTCTTCAAAGAAAAAATCGTGAGAAACTATGTTGGTCGTTGTTTACCTGTACGTATTTGCAACGTTTCGTGAAAAAATATTTTCGATAAGCTAATGACGTACATCGGGATAACTTTGTTTGAAAATTACAGTGGGTTCCAAGCAATGAAAGCCTTCAGACGATTCGTCTTCCGGACATCCAGAAATTTTTAAATCTTCTCGACTTCCTGAAATTTTGAAAATACGCTGTGATTGGTGAAAAATAAAGAAAAATGATTGCAGTTGTATATATATTGGCTCAGTTCTGAGATAGAGCCGTGAAAGATTTTGTCATAAAATACAGCTTAGTTGGTAATCCTTGCTCTGCTATTCAAAATTTTTGAAAAATTTGAATTATTGTACTTCATAAAACGTTTTCGCAGATTTTTGTTAATATATAAAAATGTATTCCGAAAAAGGTCCATATCGTCATTTAGTTTTTGAAGTTTTGTATTTCCATTATTTAGTAGGATAAGAATTATTTCCAAGGTTTTCATGCAACTTTTTACTGTTTTAAAATTGTTGAAAAGTTGCATTGAGGTATATTGGAAAATCTTTTCTCAAAACCTGAACATATCAACGTTATGATTTACTTCAAGCATGTTAGTGTATCGTGTTTGAAGCTTGAATTCCCACTTTGTAATACAGGTGCACACGTGCATCTATAGGGTGCTGGAACTCTTTTTGTTCCAAGATCGAAAAGATTGTTCATGTGTTGAATTTTCGAAAAATTCGGAAAAAATGATTTGCGTGGCAAAATGAAATTGTATTGTGAAGTTCTTCGCCAGAAGCCTCGAATCCTGTGTACAGCTCAAATACAACACAGCCATGTTCGATGATGAATCAACTCCAACTCGTTATTCCGTATTTGTTCGGGTAACTGTCGCTCCGCAGTCTGGGGAAGATCAGAAAACTCTGCGGTATGGAGCCCTCGAAACTTGAATCACTTTAAATGTTCATGAAATATTGATTACCTGAGAAATAGCGTATTATTCATGAATAAATCGGAAGATTCTTTGCATGTACGACTGTAATGTAATGCCTTCAAGATTCTTCGAAAATGCACTGCCGCGAAACTTCCCTCATTCATTCAAGTAGATGTCGCCTTGAAATTCACGGAAACTCAGCTGACGGTCGGTCGGTCGGGGGGCACCCACCCGAATGCCACTGAAAATTTTTTCGATCACAGCAGAGCGACTTCTTTTGACTAAAATATGAACATCGAACACATAATTGAATATTCGATTTTAAGCCACCAAGTAAGGCCAACAATCCCGGGTTCTCAGTTCTCTGTGAATCACGTTCGGTTCTCAGGCGTGATGTGTAAGGGAAAGGCTCATATAGTCCCTATCAGAACTCAGCTCACTGATCTCAATGAAGTACAGTGTACAATTTCTTGAGTGATGAGTGGATCCTGGTTTCGACAATAACCAAAAAACTAGCTCGTAATAGTGCTAAAATTGCTCACGACAGAAAGCAGATACAATACAGTATTTTAAAATCCTCCTCGTGGATTAAGAAAGGAGTGAGTTATTGTGAGCGCAGTGATTGATTTCCTTGTCGAACCAGCAGTGAGTCTTACTAATTGTTCGGGCTGGCGTCGATCTATAATTTGCCCACCGTTAATCTATACACGCTTCAAAAAGATTCACGAGATCATCCCTGAGAGTCAACGACGACGAGAAGGTGGATGAGCGATGTCGGATTGCACTACGTCGTGCGCTATTTCAACTATTCGGTATAGGTAGTTCTTCTCTGGACGAATTGCGGCCTCGCGTGGCTCTCCGCAACCGTGCTTGTTTCATCCCAGTAGTATACCGTCTTGGAGTTACTTTAAATTAGAATGGCCCCCGTGCGGACCCATATGCGCCGCCATAGTGGCCCGCGCGAAAGGCCTAAACGTGACATCGACTGTTTTTCCGCTTTGTTATGCATGTCCAATCCCATGTACCCGAGCGCACATGCATCAGCCAGATCCGTTGTGCACCCCTGAGGACCAACTCAGCCGCACTCCTTATACAGCCTGGGTACCGAATGGTTGTCGGTTGAATTGACGAAGTGCTGGAAACTGTGAACTGACTAGTTGATAAATCCGCTACCAGAGTGAATGCATTAAACCTCTACCCTTGTGTTGGACTTCAGTGTATGCTTTAATCCAATAGGAAGTGTTCCTACCAAGTATTGTGAATTGTAGAGTGTGAATCTCTTACTATAATTGATATCTGCAAGTGGTACTGCATCTACATTGCGGATTGCCGGCTTGATCCCTGAATTTTTTTTGATACAGCTGTTGGTACTGTGCTGGAAAGCTCATTTAATTTTCTCCGCCTGCGCTACGTAATGCGCGGAATAGCTTCCCATTAAGAATATTGTGAGAAAGTGGTGCTATTACTCTCGAGGCGGAAGCGAATTCACTATACGCGATGCGTGCTTTTCTGGTAAAATTGCACTACGGTCTGCGAGACCTTTCCTACATCGAATTAGGGGAATGCGGATCCAAGCAAGGTAGTGTACATCATCACCAAGGAAGAACGCGAAAACGAAGAACGACCGAGTTTTACGTGGAATGGTTCGATGTGGATGAGCATGGGTTGACATGCATTCCAATGCGTAAGTATCCAGGTTTTTCTCCCCCAAAATTCTCGCATTAACTTTTACACTTCATGTTTAGATGTCCACAAATTAGAGGATGGTGTTAAACTTGGAGCACCGTGTTCGAGACAACAAAGCTTGCATAAGGTTTTTTCTTTAGAAGAAGATATTCGCAGGAGTGGCGCATTCGTGCTGGAACCGGATGAAAAACGTGACTTCCGGTTCGACGTGACAGTCAAAATCAACCGTGAAATTGTCCCGTCTCATTTGAAGCGATCCGTGTTATTGATGCATGGAGATATCATTGAGTTATTTCTCCAAGACATCCGTGAGTAGCCTTGAACAAATATGGAACTGAGCTAAACTTGGTTTTTGTGTGTAGTGCAGCTCGTAAAACAGCAAATAACTGATAATTCAATTCAAGAGATAAATTCACTCTAAGCGGAAACGTATAAATTGCCATTTGCATGGTGTAATGACAATCAATTAATTTCTGATCTAGGAAATTATGTGGTACTGAATAAGTAACTTGTGAGACAAATTTTAGTGGAAACGTATGTCTATATGGCAGAAATAATGAAAGGACGCAGATAAATCGGGTTGCAGGCGTTGCTGTTAGCATCCACGATTCAGTAACTATGACTCATTGTCGGTATACCATTCAATTAACTGTCCATACTTCACTGCGGACAATTTTTCATCGAGAACTGGCTGATAATTAGTGTAACGCTGTTAACAACTTTTTTATATTTTCTGAGAATCAATGTAATGTACGGTTAGTTAGAAGCGGAATATGCAAAAGAATAGATCAGCTTTGAACATGTAGGAAGATTAATGCCCGTGTGTTCAATTGCTTCCTGTATTGAGGGTCAAGTTCGGCTGCAAATGCTTTGGATAACTTAGTTTTTGCAAGAATTGTCCGCATCGCAGTTACTGATCCTATTTCATTGAATACTGAATCATTTATTTAGCGAAATCAAATACAGTATGGCTTTTTGACAATCGAAAATGTTTTCAGGGCGTTTAAAAATTTTTGTGTATCGCTCTATGGCTGTTAGCTTACTTCAGATTCTATACTCGCTGATACGCATATCACTCTTGATGCATAATACTTGGTAGAATGCTCTTGTAAATGTTGGATGCATTTTATAGGGAGGGTTTTAAGACGGTACCCGAGTGTGTTTTTGTGTATACAGTATAGCTTGAATGTATTTCAGCCTACTTCAGGGTCATGTTTCTATTGACCAATGAATATTCGGTACGAATGCCACAAACTTCAGTACTGCTGTCATGTCCTTGGTCGGTTCTGCAAACCATTTTCCGGTTTTTGACTCCCTTCGAAGCCATGGAAAGCATCGTTCCGGTGTGTCAGCAATTTTTTCAACTAATACGGAGTGGTGAAATCTGGACAAATCTCAAAGTCAATATTGACTTTGAAACATACGTTCCATACGGTCACCTGGGTGATTTGTGCAAAGTGATTGCTCCGTGAGTTGCTTTTGTCGATTTTTCATGCTTCAATCCTCCATGATTTTGCTATTAGTTACGAGCGCACGTTAGTGGAATGTATTCATTCAGGTTTGAAATTTTCCCGCGAGAAAATATCGACACGCCGCTTTAAGAGAGGGATTCGAACCGGGGGATTACGATAATCTACAGTATGTCAGTGTAATTTTTTAATGAAGAATATCTATCAATCTAATTTTTGAGAGACTTGTAGCGTGCATGATGATTTTTCATGAATCCCAATTGGAGGCGGCATTTTTCGATATATTTTGCCTCGGATTCGTGAACTATGAGCATCTTATCAAACGAGACTGTGATTTCTCAGGCGTATTAAGAAGCTTGTAGTGGATTTGGGATATCGTCGATACAGACCGTCGCGGTATAATTTGCGTTCATCGTTCGATTCGGATGACTGGAGGATTCTGAAGGTCCTGGAAATACATTCACTAACATGCGACCATTTCGTGGCTGCAGTCCTGGAAAACAGAATTCTTCGTCAAATTAGAAACCCTTGTCATTCCTTGCGTCGATTGCGTTCGCCTTTGCCGTGGATCAGGGGCAGGATCAGGAATTGTTTTCCCAAATGTTCGAGAAGTCACCCTGCTGTGTTCCGTGCGAGATGACTTCTCTGCTGTGGATTTGAAGCTGGTTTTTCCGAGGCTAGTATATTGGGTGACATTCAATTTGTCATTTTGAAGAATCATTTTCCGATCTCAGATTGAGGACGTTGCATTTGATCGATATAAAGAAAAAATCCTTACACGAAGTGAGTCCAAATGTCAAGTTTCTCGACTTCCTTGGCTCTGGTGAGCTGCGAAGCCTGCATGCGAACACCTTGCCTGTTGAATTGAGTAATGACGATTGGCTTCAAGCTCAAAGAAGGGGGACGTTTGCTGACCTGGAATTGTTAACCTTGCGTGGTAGCGAGGTTGAGGAGATGCCACTCGCTGACACGATGTGCGATGCTTTCCCGAAGGTAACGCTGAAACTGTAAGATTGGACTTGAATTCCACCGTATTTTCCTGCGAGGACCACGCATATTATTTTTCCAGAAAATTACTGCAGGAAATTGGGTTGGACGTGGTATGCCGGTCTACATTTTCCAAAAAAGACAAAATATGTCATATTTGTGCGTCAGAATAAGTTAGTGTCAGATTAAAAAAGGATAGAATATCCTGTTCGACACCATTACTGATGTAATTCTTGATGTTCTTTCATTCAATTATCAGCGTGCTCTCAGTTACAAATTATTATTTGGTAAATTGATATAAATTTTCAGCCGACGAAAACTGAGGTGCAATAGCTGGTTTTTCAAAAATTAACTAAAATTAACTAAAAAATTAACTGGCTCAAAAATTAACTAAAATCTGGATCTGCATGAACTTCATCAATGAAGCATGAAAACTAGTTCAACTAAATTGAAACAGATGTGAGCTGGAAGCGTGTCGCACATTTTTGCATGATTGATTTTCTTACTATTTATTCATTCATTGAACAAATACATGGGCTGTACAGTATTGTACAATGCTGACTGACAATACTGTACAGCATTTGCTTTATTGTCAGTCTGCTGGGTATAATGAATGTCTGAGGGAATATTCTTTAATTCCATGTTTTCTGAAGACGTGTGAACTGTCATGAGTCATTGTTGGTCGGACATTTTCTATTTTATTGTAGTGATCCACGTCAGAGAACAGATGAAAAGTCTATTGTGTCAGCAGTAGCATGAATAGTATCATTACTGAGCAAAGGTTGAACTTGAAAAAGTTCGCCTGCCCCTCAGTTTCACTGCGTCGTTCGGCATGATTTCCATGTAATATTTTGTTTTTGTCCATATGTTCGCAGCTTAAATCCATCTGGTTCCAAAATGTACGAGTGTCACCGACGAATGCATTAGACCATATACTGGAGATGCCAAGTGTGGAGAAGCTTTGGTTCAGAAATTTTCGTTCAGAGATAGTTCCTGAGCCGATATCACTTCATTTCTTCGACCGAAGTCCGAAAGAATGGCTTGAAAACATCAAACTTATTTCTGCTGATTTGTGGGAGAGGTATATCCCGTATTCCAGAATGATCAACTTGGAATTGGTTGCATTGTTTTCGCGAGACAAGACGACTTGGGTCACAAACATAGATGTTGATGGAACACTTCCGCGATCCCTGGAGAACATTTTTGAGGAACTTCGCAACTGTTCGAAGCTCAAAGGACTAATTCTACGCATACCGGATGGTTTTCGGTGCGCAGTTCTTGGCGAACTGTCCCAAGAATTGGAATTCGCTGCAATTTCTGGAGCTAACATTGATGAAGTGAAATCTGTGCTGGAGTGCCTTTTCTGTGCTCAAACGCGTCTTAAAGAATTGTGGATTCGGGTGTTCAATGCATCGGTAAGATCATGTATAAGATTCACCAGAATTATATGCTTCTGGTTTAAGGAAGTTGCTGCTGTAGATTGGTCCTCCATCCAGGTTCTCTTGAAGATGAACTGTAATGAAAGCCCGAAGTTTTGCAGGCGTTTAATTCACTTGCATGCTTTCATGCAATGAAAGCCTGCAATTGAAAAACACGTTGTTGCATTACTGACAGGCTTATGTAAATCAGTTTCGCTGCGTTTGATGAACTGAATCGAATCCAAACGTCAAGAAGTTCCGTTCTGACATGACCATTTTTATCTCGATCTTTCGAGTCTGATGGACCCTAGTCCAGTAATTGTAGTGTGCTTTCAACGTTCACATATGTGAGTTCTTATTTTGAAATTAAATTAAGAGTTTCTTTATTATGGACGTCCGACAAAAAAGACTCTGAAGTTTCCACTGCTGTGATTTTCTGATTTTGTATAAGTACGGTCAAAAACGAAAAAAGGAGTGTTATGTATGTCACAGTTTGTTAGATTCAGTATGTTACAGATTAGAAGTATTTTGTCAGTTTTGGGGAAACTTGTGAATAAAAATTTGAAAAATTCATTGATTTAAACTCCGAAGTACTGTAATGTTTTTCTCTAGTTCTGAATCATTTTAACGTGTCCATTGAATCAGGCTATACAGCAGTGAGAAAAGGATACATGTTCTCTTCAGCTTTTAGATGAGCAAGAATCGAGATTTTCACCGCTTGTAGTTGTGTCCATGAAAATCAGTTCAAGTTTTCCTGATCACAGTTTGATTTTCTTTTCTTTCTCTCTTTACTCGTGTGTCTCGATCGCTGTTTCAGAAACCTGCATTTGAGGAAATCATCGAAGTGTTGATGAGATTCAAACGTCTGGAAGAAGTCTTGTTCGTGTATACGCCTTGTCCCCCTTCCAAAAGGAGCTTCGACAATGATGACGACTCCGATGACGCCTTAGACAGCGATTACACAATGATGGAATACCCCCTGAGAACGTTTCAGCGAGTGATGCGGGAATTCGCGCATCCAGGATGTTGCTGGAAACAAGCAACTTTGCTTTATGATGGTCCTTATATTAAGGAATATTTTACCTACAGTTTCACACTGCGAATGGAAACAGAATTCTCGTCATTTGCTGTAACGAAATTCTTCTCTGATTGGTTCAGGCATGTTATGGATGGAAATGGAGGTTCTGAGTTCGGGGCAGCTGACTTGATTTCAGCTCTTTTTCCCAAACAAACGGAATAATTTGCGGGAATCGCCTTGGGCGCTTCCTTAGTTGCGAATAATTGTTGAACTTTTTAATGCATTGATTGAGACTTCGAAATTATCGTAAAAAAGACGACAAGAGTTGCGTGAATAACGGAGTTTCTTCAAGGACGGAAGGACTTTTCCTTACTTCGGATTGCGATGGTGACCATTTTTTCGAGAATTTGAGGAAGGTTTCGGCTGAAGTCATTTCTGTTCCTTGAGCTGTTTTTCGTCCTACACATGTTTAAAAATAAGGGAAAAGAGGAACTACAACACTTTTTGTCACATCATCCGATCCAGTTTGCTTGGTGAAGGTTAGATTTCGAAATTTATGAGACGAGTAAATCACTCCCTTTCAAAATTCAACAGGAGTTTACTTCCCGGATGAAATTTCCCGAAAGTGGAACAAGACTTTTTTATTGTGCATTTTAAAATGAACTGTGATGAATAGTCGAAAACATGCAAGCTGATTCGACGGACAGAATCATGTCACGTGACATGCTTGTTACTTTTCAAAACCACTGCGTGTATACTGTCGGAGTGAGCAGGAAAAAAAATAAGTTCATCAGTATAATGAATTAGCAAATTTAAACTTTTTATTTCTTAGACTCAATCCTGTTGATAATGTATACTGTATTCTGCCTACAAACGAAAGGCGGGACTACCACGAAAGAACGTGGCTGACCATCTCCGTATGTGTACGGACTTATCTTACAATTGTTGTATTTAGGAAAGTGGTATCAAAACTAATGAATGCAAAAATCGAAGCATGAATGTGTGTGCGAAATTTTCTTGCTGCGGAATTAGTTCCTATTTTTTCATCTGTCGAATCAATGCTGTAGCAGAATAGCGAGCGTAAGTGCGGGAATGCGTTTTGAATTAACTTTTCTTTCTTGCCTAACATGAACTCTTCTGGAGACATCAATGTTTGATCAATCATTTTCTACTTTCGTATTTTGCTCTACCCTGCTGAAGCAGGGATATTGTTTTGATGTCTGCAGTTCAAGGTTATTCAATTATTCCCAAGGAAAGTTGAACTTGGAAATACAGTATGTATTGTATGTGATGCCACACAGTTCCAACTGTTTTCGTGAGTTGGAGGATGTACAGTATTTAAAACCGTGTTTCTTTGTTATTTTTGTTCCCGATCTTCGGACTTACAGTGCGTGAATGAGTCAGTGCCCTTGCAGTGATTTACTGTCGTTTTGCTGTTTCGCAGTTGCGTGACAGCTGTCGCGCGTAAATTGCCTTTTTGTGCCCCATTATCTTTCACTTCAGGGTAATAAACGCCGAAACTTGAACTTGTTTGCTTGTCACAATATCCTGGATATTGCTCTACATTCTATCCCAGTTGTGCCAAGATATCGGGTCTGAGCTGGTTCAAGGTTACCGTTAGTCATTCTATACTCATTCCAGATCAGCTTGCTCATGCGGTGTTCAATAAGTTGGCGATTGTGTCGGAGGACAGGTGCTGTGAGATTTGCATTACAAACTGCATAGTATAGTGTTCAGATTCCTTGAAAATTTTCCTGGTGACTGCGAGCCATTCTGATTCTTATGATGGAAAACAGAGAAATTCATTCAGCTTGCAGGAAAACTTTGTACGATGAAGGATGGACTGCTTGTAATGGCATTTACCGCTCAGGGAAAATCATATCAGAAACAACCTACAGAATCAAGTGAAGAATAAAGTTTGCTGTCTATTAAAGTTTTGGACCCACTTGACAGTTATCCATTAATGTGTTCGCTGTGTTGTTCTAATTTGAAGTTCAACAGTCAAGCCCGTTCAAGTCAAATTTCAAGGGACCAGCAAAAAAAATTTTGATTTAGGGAAACCAGCTTTTCTGTTGGGGAAAGAAAGGACAGGAAATTGTAGTTGATGATATTTTCGGCTTTAAATTGATTCTAAAATTACTTGACTGGACGTGAACTTTGAGGAAAGGGTTCATTTGCATCATGTTACATTATCATTGTTTTTCTCTTACCTCTGGCAATAAAGTAATAGCCGAAAGGCTTCATTTAAAATTTGAGTTATGAAGGTCCGAGAGGGGAACTTTTGGGAGGTTTTTAATGCAATGTTTCTTATGGGACACAGGCAGGGGCTTGAAAAAAATTGGAGTCACGCTGGAGGTTCAACTGTATGATGTACTGTATTTTTATTTCTTGGTTTTTGCCGTTTCCCGGATCCTAGAGCGTGTGACGGGAAGATGATCTCAAATTACCGAATCCAGGCCAAGTTTTCGTGCATTGAGACAACAGAAGCCAGGAAAGGCTTGATCATCCGAACCGTTGACTGATGCCTAACCATTATCACGATCACTAATCCCACGAAACCGGTAATGAAAAACTGTTCCAGCGAACTTCCGTCCCGGAAAAAAGAAGTACTGCATGACGATGCCGACGAGAACGGGAAGCGACGCGTGCCAAATAAACCGATACGACTAATTAGCCCAGAAGAAAATCAATGAACGTCTTGACGTGAGCATATTTTGCTCAAACAAAAAACCAAAATTGGCATGATCCCTCCTTTTATGCATGAGATTTGGCTTTATCCCGCTTCTCTGCGCATGTGTGTGATCCTCACTCATCGTTTCCGTGTCACCCTGGGTGATGGAATGGATGTGAATGTATTGAAGGGGACTTCGGGAACTCGGACGGCAA